TCGCTTGCGAGTGGTGTGGGAAATGCTGAGGCATGGGTCCAACAAAATGTTTCCAACTACATCTCCAACCACGGAACTGATATAAGGTACATGAAACAAGTAGTTTTTACGTTAGTTTTTCTTAGGGTAAATTATGTATTTAGTACCTAACTATCTTTTTTGGTCCGTTTTAATACCTAAACTTTCAATTTTTTCAAAACCATACCTAACGTTTAGTTTTCATTTCCATTTAGTACATGCGTTAAAAACTTAACGCGTTTAGTACCTAAACTATCAGTTTTGGTCCGTTTTAGTACATAAATTTTCAATCTATTCAAAACTTAATGTTAAATTTTGAACGGGGTACTAAAATGAAACTAAAGCTTTTAACGACGGTGTACTAAAATGAAACAAAAACTAAATGTTGGGTATGATTTTAAAAAAAATTAAAAGCTTAGATACTAAAACGGACCAAAATTGTTAAATTAGGTACTAGACGCATACTTTACCTTTTTTATTAATCTATGTACTATATGCAGGGACGTAGTCAGATGCAACTTCAAAGATAAATATAAATAAGAATAAAATGGTAATTAGAGTCTGATTGTTAAACCATAGATTTAAAATTATATATGGAGGGGTTTTAATATGGTTTGTTTAATTTTGAAATTTAAAGGAACCTAAAAGTATTTAAACCCAAAAAAAAATAGGTCAAGGCTTAAATTATCTAGTTTTAAAACTAAGAGGGACTTTAAAAGCAATTGTACCAAAAATTGGGGGCTAAGATCTATTTCAACTAATTTCAAAGCTAAGAAGACCTAAAAAAACAATTGAATCCAAAGAACTAAGAAGGACCTAAAAGCCAATTAAACCTAATTTGTTAGGGGGCATGACTCTTCCCACATTATACATAGATCTATGTCTAACTTGTAGATTTAATCTTTATAATTTGAACATTTTTAGTCTTCATAATTTTTAAATCTTTCAATATTGACGTGAAAAAATATATGTTAAATTTGTTTAAAATTAAATTCTACTATTAATCATTGCATTATGTATAAGTTGTAGATTTAATTTTTGTTCTTCAACTAAACTTTAAATATGGTTTTGAAACAATTGAAAGTTTATGTACTAAAACGGATCTAAACTAATAGTTTAGATACTAAATGTGTATTTTACCCTTTAAAATTTGATGATTGGATCACTAATATACGTATATGCTGACAACGACGAAGGTCGGTAGCCATAGGCAATGAACCATTCCTACGTGACTACAAAGATCAGTTCGTGAATACAATATTCCCAGCCCTTGAAAACATTCAAGCAGCTCTTATCAAAGCCGGGCTAGGCAAGCAAGTGAAGGCAACCATCCCGATAAACGCCGATGTCTACCAGACTGACTCCGGCCTACCCTCCGGCGGCTATTTCCGACCGGAACTCCAAAATCTAATGATGAACATCATCAAGTTCCTTCAAGACAATGGTGGCTTCCTCACCATCAACATCTACCCTTTTCTTAGCATGAAAGCAGACCCCAGTTTCCCCAAAGAATATGCTTTCTTCAACAACACGGCTAAGCCAGTGGTCGATGGTTCCATCGTTTACACCAACGTGTACGATGCTAATTTCGATACCCTCATTGCGGCTCTCGAGAAAAATGGCTTCGGACACATGCCGGTGGTCATCGGTGAAGTTGGCTGGCCGACGGATGGTGATCCGAGCGCGAATGTCGATAACGCCAAGAGGTTTAACCAAGCGCTTTTGGACCGTATAGTACAAGGCCAAGGCAGTCCGAGGAGACGAACGCCGCCGGATGTTTATATCTTTTCGCTCATCGACGAGGACCATAAGAGCACACTGCCGGGAAATTTCGAGAGGCACTGGGGTATCCTCAAATACGACGGTGGAATCAAGTATCCTTTGGATATGGGAAACGGACGAGCCGTCGTGCCGGCCAAAGGCGTCAAGTATTTGGCCAAGCAATGGTGCGTGATGTCGCCTTCTGCCGGCGGCGTCTCGGACCCCAACACACGTTGACTCAGAGCATCACTTACGCCTGCGAGAACGGCGATTGCACCAGCCTCGGCTCTGGCTCTTCGTGCGGTAATTTGGACGCCCAGGGCAATGCTTCTTATGCATTCAACACGTACTTTCAGACCATGAATCAGAGCAAGGGTGCGTGTAATTTTAACAACTTGGCTGTCATTACAACCGTTGATCCGTCGAAGCCGCCTTGTCGGTTCGAGATCATGATCGACACCAGAAAACAAAAGAATGCGGCATCTCCTCCGACCGTCTACAGATCTTCGGCTGCGAAAATCCAAGGCATATTAGCGGCCTGGATTCTGGGTTTAGTTATTTGTGGTGTTCATTGATTTAAGTTCTTTGCTGGCAATCGCCACTTTCATTTGAGGTTATTTTTCTTCTTAGAATCCAGATTTTAAACTTGTTTTCATATTGTAAATTAACCATTTATTATTATAATAAAATTCATTATCAAATTTGTGTCGATATATTTATCATGTCGAAGTGACAAGTTCTAATAAAAAGATATATTTTATTAGAACTCGTTATGTCCACGTGACGAGTTCTAAGTCATTGTAACAAATATCGTAGATCCCAAATTAATTTTGGAGATGGCCTAATGACTCAATTTTTTTACCCGCTTATAGGGGTAAGTGTTTGATCGAGTCGAATCGAGTCAAGTCAAGAAATTTTGAGTTATTCGAGTTGATGAGTCATATTTTATAACTCGGAGTTGAGTCAAATTTTTGAATTTCTATTTAAATTTAATTATAAATATTTACAATATTATGACATTATTTGATTCTCATTTAAATGGTATTTTATAATCATATATATATATATATATAACAGGATTATAATATGAAAACATGGAAGGTATTCACAATCTTATTTGATTCCCATTTAAATAATCATGTCTTTAGAATTAGCTGATTCGGGAACATTTAGGATTCTAATATAACATGTAGGTATTCAGGATCTTTTATATCAGATTTTACTAAGGTTCGAATATAACTAGAGTGATTCTATTCTTTTAGGCCATTAGAGACATTTTAGTCATTTTAGCTACCGATGAAATTCTTAATAAAATTAACCCAATAAGGGTAAAATAGAAATTCTCAGTATCTCAAATTCTCCCGATTTCGAGTCAAATCGAGCTGACATATCTCAATATTTCGATACTTGCCAATCGTTCGGACCAATATATTTTCAAGAATATTCACTAGATAATACTGCTTGTACTAGTTGGACTGACTACCACTAAAATCTTCATTGAAAATATCTTGAAGGGACGAACATATATTTCGATAATATTATTTAATTTTGTAATGTAGACATATCTAGAATGACTGACGTGCTTGATTCTTGCTTCATAACTTTTAGGGCGGTACATCACTTAGGCTTATCTGGGTTCCAGAGTTTATTCAGTGACATTCACTTGTTACTCTTCAATAAGGGTGTTTAGGTCATTTCAGTTATTGAGGTTACTTTAATCATTTAGAGGCTCAAGGGTATTTTGGATAATGCGAGGTCCAAAGGCATATTGGTCATTTTAGAACTGAAGGTTTATTTTTTCAAATAGTTCATATACATGCGGTACTTCCAATAAATTGGTTTTTTGATAAATCTTCTGAAATCATAATATCCCAGTAAGTTACAATCTCGAAGGCTAGAAATCGATTACTCGAATTTTCCAATCAGGTCATGAATTTAACTGACATTTTCGTATTTCTATCCAGCCAAAAATGAATTTTGAGGTCATTTCCAATATCAAGGGAGATTCGATTTTTTTCATACCAAGGGTATCAGTCCTTTCATCCAATTTTTTTCATATGCATTACTTCTCGTAAATTTGTCTTTCTGTATTTACTCAAGATTCAGGATTCTACGTTCTTTTCCATCTTAGGAGTCATAATCAATTATCTGAATGTTTCTAAATCAAACAAGCACTTAATAGGTGAATTCAATGGTTTAATCGGGTCAATTATACCTTTCCAAGGTTATTTTACACTTTTGGGCACAATTCTCGTCTTTTTACATCATAAGGGTATTTTACCTAGCAAGAGTATTTTCATAATTTCTTTTTCGAGTATTTTCATAATTTCATTTTCAAGTATTTCCGACATTTAACCTTTTTACAGAAGTAATCAGAATTTACGGATTCTTAAGTTACTTGAATTACCAATTAACCACTGAATTTGAAATTATTTCTTGTTAATATTCTAGTTCCTTACATGAATCAATCGAATCTTATTCAATTTACCGTCTGTCTTTATACTGTATTCAATATTACTTTTAAAAATCCTCAATAAGCACGAGACTGATCATTTTCATTCATGTAATTATCAATTATCAACGAGTACGATAAAACATTCAAAAGGTTAAACGACCTAAAATGTGCAAAAAGACAAATAAAAAACATAAAAATAGATGAAAACGTGCTATAAAAGCAGACTTATTGAAAATTGAAAGCAATAAAAATAAACCGGACCCGACCAGACCCGACTTCGGAGACAAGTAAAGAGAACTTAAAATTTTCAGCTATTGTCATGCAACTCTACCGGGATTGCTCTTGTGTTCCTCTGCATTTTAATTGCAGCAATAGATGAAACACTTGCAAAACTAATTCGATTCGATTTCTCGAAACAGGATCGAAGAATTCGGACCCGACTCGAGACCAAAAAGAAACCATTGACACCCTATTACGTTATCTTCACCTATCTCCTCCCTATATGGAAATACAAAAATACAGCAAACAGAAACAGACAAAGAAACCGATGAATTCCGCCTGTGTGTATTCAAATTTGGCAAAACCTGGGTTCCTTAAATGAAACATAAAGCACCCATTAATAAATGTGAAAATCATGTGACATTTAAGTGCCTAAAATCAGCTTTAGATTCTTCTAATTATTGTACCATAAATGGTTCCAACTCTCATTTACATATATCAACCACAGTTTCTCCACCAGAAAAACCATTAAAAAAAAACCCAGAAAAACAGAGATTAGTGGGGGAGAAATGGGAAGAAGAAAGCTGAAAATCCAGAGACTGGAGAGCATCAAAGCAAGGCAAGCGACGTATTCAAAGCGTAAAACTGGGATTCTTAAGAAAGCCAAAGAGATTTCGATCTTGTGCGATGTCGATGTTGCTCTGCTGCTGTTTTCACCTACCGATAAACCAACCCTGTTTGTTGGCCAAGAAAAGTAAAAAGAAAATTTCATTCTTTTTTTCGATTAAAATACCAGATTTGTCTTCCTTGTTAAAGCTCCATTTTCATTTTCTTTTTTACTTTTTAAATAACCAAAAACAGGAGATTGAGTGATGTTCTTGAGAGACTGTCGAAATCGCCATACGAGGAGATCGAAGAAAGGTATATAATATTTGTTAAAACAGTGGGTTAATTGTAGGTTTGATCCCTGAATTATACATTTTGTTCTCATTTTGATACCTAAACCTTTTTTCTTGTGCTCTCTTTGATGTTTAAATTATCATCCCGTCTCAATCTACTCAAAATGTTAACATTATTAAAAATATGATAATCTAAGTATCAAAATAATAAAAAAATTTGGTACGAAAGTGTGGAAATAGGTATGAGTCAGGGATTAAACTGTGAATAAAACCATATTCAATTAGCTTTTGCCGAGGGACTGACGGATTTTGATGGTGTATTTGTTTACTATCACCAGAAGGGCGTATACAATGCAGGTAGGTCGATATTCCCAATCCTCATTTGTTTTTTTTTATTTTAATTTTTTAGTTCTTAGTAATTCCAAATTAAAATTAATTTGTTTATTTTATTTTTAATGAAGATATTGAAGAAAATTTATGCAAATTCTGAGTCGGAATTTGTACAAAATAGCTCCTCACAAAATGCAAGTGATAATGCCCAGAAGGCACATGAAGAGCAACTGAGGGAGCTGAAGGAAAAATTGGCTGAGAAGAGCAAGATTCTAAGGTATGGAACTAATACTGGAAGGAGTAAATTATTAAAGTTCAAAATAATAGGGACTAATAAGATATTTAATCTAAAAATAGGACCAAAAATTAGACAGACAAAAGCCCTTCCTACTATCACATGGATTTTAATCGTGTAGGTAAACATCACATGTCAATATTTATGATTAAATCAACGTTTAAGATTTGAAAAATTCTCATAATGAACATTTTAATCATAGATGTAAGTGTCACGTATCAGGATTTATATACAGATTAATGTATAAGTTTTAGAAAAGTCTAATATTAAGATTTTACTTTGTTAAGAGAATATCACGTGTTAAAATTTATAAATAAGACAACACATAAGATTTAAGAAATACTAATAATCAATATTTTGATCGACTATGCAAATATCACGTGTCAGGATTTATACATGAATCGGTGCATAAGATTTGGAAAATCTAATCTTAAAACCTTACTTTATTAAGAGAATGTCACGTGTCAGGATTTATATACATATTAATGCTTATGATTTGAGAAATATAATATTAAGACTTTATTTTGTTAAGAGAATGTCACGTGTCCGGACTTATCCATAAATCGATGCATAAGATTTAGACAATCAAATCTTAAGATTTTACCTTATTAAGAGAATGTTACGTGTCGAGATTTATATACAGGTCAATGCATAAGATTTAGAAAATCTAGTATTAAGATTTTACTTTGTTAAGAGAATGTCACGTGTCAAAATTTATAAATAAGACACCACATAAACTTTAAGAAATACTAATAATTAACATTTTGATCATGTAAACAAATGCCACGTTTTGGGATTTATATATGAATCGATGCATAAGATAAATAAAATTTAGTCTTAGGACTAGGGCTGTAAATAAGACGAGACAGATCACGAGTTATTTGAGATCGACTCGATCAAGGCTCGATAAATACTCGGATCGAATGGACTCGACTCGAACTCGAGCTCGACTCGAGTTCTTAACGAGCTGAAACGAGCTACTCGATATTCGACTTGAAAAGCTCGTGAGCAACTCGAAAATATAATATATTAAGATTTTATTTTTAAAAAATAAATTAATAATAATATTAATATTTATGTATTGATTTTTTTTAAAAAAATACAGTAAGATTTCATGTATTTAAGTTTTATGTTCGAGTTTGAGTTTGAGGCTATAATCGAGTTAAGTTTAAGATTTTTTTTTTCATTTCGAGCCTTTTCGAGCTGCTCACGAGCTTTAGTTCAGGATTTTGAGTTCGAGTCGAGCTTGAAAATTTTAAGCTCGCGAGTTTTCGAGTCGAGTTGAGCTCCATTTCAGAGTTTTCGAGTCGAGTCGAGCTCAGCAATACTCGAGCTCGACTCGACTCGTTTACACCCCTACTTAGGACCTTACTCTATTAAGAGAATATTATGTGTCAAGATTAATTAATAAATCAATGCTTACGATTTAGAAAATATAGTATTAAGACTTTATGTTGTTAAAAGAATATTATGTGCCATGATTTATACATTAATCGATACATATGATTTAGAAAATCTAGTCTTAAGATTTTACTTTGTTAAGAGAATGCCACGTGTCAGAATTTACAAACAAGATAACAAATAAGCTTTAAGAAATACTAATAATTAACATTCTGATCATGTATACAAATGTCATGTTTTGAGATTTATACATGAATCGACGCATAAGATTTAGACAATTTAGTCTTAGGACCTTACTTTATTAAGAGAATATCGTGTGTCAAGATTTATATACAAATCAATGCTTATGATTCGGAAAATATAGTATTAAGACTTTATGTTGTTAAGAAAATGTTACGTGTCAGGATTTATACATGAATCGATGCATAAGATTTAGGAAATCTAATATTAAATTTTAATTTATTAAGAGAATGTCACATGTAGAGATTTATATACAAATAAGGTTTATGTACAAATCAACACATAAATCAATTTTAATTGTGTATTCAAATGCCACAATACTAATAATTAAAATTTTGTTTTTGCTATGAGAGTCTCACATGTTGAGATTTATGCACATAACACAGGAAGTATTTTAGTGATAAGATTTGGTGATGTTGAATTGATAGGGACTGGAAAGACCCAAGTAATGTTGAGGACCTGGCACAAATAAAGCTCATGGAAGAACACCTCATTTCATCCCTCAATGGAATCAGAAACAAGAAGGTTTGAACAAGCTTCCCTAAGTCTTCCAGTTTATTGACAGAGTCAATTAGCAATGGAGCAGCGAGCCAGAGAAGGAGGTTTAGAGGTGGGTTTCCAATGAACATATTTTTTTTACTGCCTTTTCAATTCTACGTAGAAACATACCAATCAAAGTTCAGTTTTAAATATAATTTTTTTTTTAAATCCGAACATAAGTCTAATTATTTATACAGATAACATATGTTTTTTTTATAAAAAAACTGTGCAGGGGAACGAGGGTACTGAAACTTAAGGATGATGGCATACCGAAGATATGTAGCAGCAATGAATGATACATGAAATGAAAGGATTATGATTTTCTTCAATTTAATAAGGTCTCTTTGCTTAGCTACAAAGCTGAGACAAGAATGAAAAAAACTTGGTCATTTGGCTTGTTTCATTTTGGATTTTGTTGAATTTTGGAATCGAAAACTGTCACAATTGAAGTCATAAAGACTGTTACAGTTTGTATTTGGTGTTAGTAATGCAAATATTAAGGTTTTTTTTAGGGTGTTGGTTATCCTTTATTAAGGCATTGGTTGGAGTGGGTAAATACATATTGATAATTGTATCCCTCTACCACTCCTATAAAAGAGAGAGTCCCTCTCTTTTATTATATATACAATCGATGATTTTTCGTAATTTCTTGGAAAATTTCTGGTCGAAGAGAGTAACACAATGGGTTCCACTCCCTTACTTCGGGTGTACGAGATTTGGAAGGTTGTGTTAACCTTGGGGGCAATGTCCATTTCGGGATTACACCAATCCAGGCGAAATTGCTTTTAAGGCAGTGACTTACATACCAAGACACAATAATCGTTTTGTTTGTCATTTTATTTCATTATTATTTGTTAGTCAATGCTAACGGGTTTTTCTTGCAGCAGTATTATTTTCTAACATTAGGAACATGGTTCAAGATTTTTTTTTAAATTCAGGTTATGATCAGGTCGGGTTATTTATTTATTATTTTTTGAAAGATAAAGTGAGGTATAGAGTGAACAATCCCTAACAATACCCCAATTGGATCAAGTGGAACCTCCTTATATCTGAGTAAAGTCAGGAGACAAGTGAAGGGACAGAATATATTCAGGTCAGATTCGGATAGACAAAAAATCTAACCCAGAAGATGAAAAGGATTATGATTATAATACATATGATTCTAATTCAATTAATGAAGAATTCGGTCAATGATCGAGATGGTCAATAGATAATAAGATTACCTTAATTTTCTACTAAATAAACTACTTACAAGTTGATCGGTCAAAAAGCACTGCCAGAAGCAATGCACCAGAGAGCTTCAGTGAGCTGCACAGCTTATCTGCATTCACAAAAGTACGAAAAAAGAAATAGTAATTGTTTCATTTGATCATTGTGGGTGGAAGATATACCAGCTCAGGATATTCATTCATCGGAGTGAAGCACTTTGTTAACTTGGACCAGCAGGCATTTGCGAAATTTTCGCCGGATTACTCTTCCGGCTCTTCTCCGACCCGTGGAGCCGTAACAGCAACGAATTGGTTACAACAAATATAGAGCTCAGGGCCATTAAACCACCTATTCGAACAGATATGTAAGATTGAAGCAGATCAGTTATAGTCGATGGAAACGGCATATAAAAGTAAAATTTTCCTTCACTTTTTCAGTTTACATACCGGAAAACGAGGGTGTCATGGCAATATCGTATTGGGGGAGTAAAACACCGGCCGCAATGGGGATGGAGACGATATTATATGCTATGGCCCATGATAAATTTTGGTACACTTTCGACATTGTTGCTTGTGCCAGATCCAGCGCATCTACTACCTGGGTAAAGCAAGGCTTAAGTTAGATGCTAGGGCCTAGGAATCAGACTGGTGTTTCTTCTGAGTGCACAAAATATAACTCTTCTATAAAAGTGTCATGCAAAAGCACAATTGACTTGGCTAAAAAGCTTATGGCATCAACAAGTTCGTCTACCGTGTCGCATGTAAACTAGAATTACGATATTAAGGAGAGCATACCTGGGAGAGTCTGTTTCCGAGAAGTATAATAGACGCTGCATCAGAGGCTGCAGTTTCTTGTGCTTCAGTCTGTAGAGCAATCCCCACATCCGCAAGGGCCAATGATGGAGCATCGTTAATGCCATCTCCTACCTTTTCGAGGAAAAAATATAAGCTGAATATATTTTCTAATCAAGCCACAATTTGTTAATCGAGTTGTTAAAGGATCCTAAACCTTTCTTCCAAGATACTTGGAGGTGTTACCTTTTGCTAGGGTCATCCACCATAATTTGTTAATCGAATAGAAGGAGAAAAAGGAAATTAATATGGTTATTTAGTTGCATCCACCATAATTAGGTGCGGTAACTCCATTTCTTGATCTCAGTCTGGAGACCAGGTGAATTTTAAGTATGCTTTATATTGTTAACGAATTCTAGAGGACGGGATGTTCTGGGAGAGAGATTTACCATTGCAATGTGATGTCCTGCAGTCTGAAGAGTAGATACAACTCTTGATTTCTGCTGAGGTGTCACAGATGCATTAACAAATTCACGTTCTATTCCAACTGTCTTCGCAATAGTTGCAACCGCCTCTTCCCTGTCTCCCGAAATAAGGATTGTTTTGATACCCTTCTGCTGAAGCCTGTAAATATACAATGCAACAAAATAACCACAAATAATAAATTTTAGGTTAAAAAGTAAGAATAGCACAAGGAAATGAAACATTTAAGTTGCTATTCTAGATGGAAACTTAAAGAATAAAGCTTCTATCCAATCATCAATGGAGAATATCAGTTGGGAATTGGCTACTAATCAAGACTTGAAATGCATGCCAAGCCAGACAAATGGAAGAACTCGTCCACGATTAAGAAAATGAAAAATTACCTACTCACAGTAGACTGAGCATCAGACCGCAAACAATCAGATATTCCTATAGCACCAATAACCCCTTCTCCTTCGCGTCCAACATAGACAACTGTTTTTGAATAGTTTGATGGTGAAGATGACCGATGCATTAAAGCATGTTGTAAATTCATCAAAGCAGATGGACTTGCTTTTATCTGGAAACGTTCGCTAACCCATTCTAATTTGCCAACTGCAACCAAACGTCCATTTACTTCAGCTAAGGTTCCAAAACCTGGTTCAAATAGTTGTCCTCTTGTTTCTGGGAGTGTCAAATTCAACAATTCTGCCTTATTTACAATAGCCTTAGCAATTGGATGTGTTACTGTTCTCTCTACTGCTGCAGCAGCTTGAAGAATTTCTGATTCATCATAAGTAAAGGAAGCCACTGAGGAGACAGTGGGTTTTCCTTCAGTGAGAGTCCCTGTCTGCACATTGAAAAGGAGAGTAATTTTAGAGTGCACTTCAACGTAGCACATTATATATATATATATATATATATATATTAGGGAGGGACGGACGCAAGATTTTATCTTAGAGGACGAAATTTTTAAATAGAAAATATCTAAAATATATATGAAATTGAAAATTTTAAGGGGTGACCACCTTCGGTCCATCCCTATATATATATATATATATATATATATATATATATAGAGAGAGAGAGAGAGAGAGAGAGAGGGAGAGGGAGGGAGCAATTATTTTCGATGGTAAAAGTACTTTGTCAAAAGCTACATGGTCTATATTGGCCAAGCGCTCCAGAACATCTGCACCTCTTATAAGCAGTCCTTGTCTTGCTCCTGACGTATTTCATTGCAGCAACATATAACAAAGTTAGTTGTTGCTTGTAAAATGCGGAGAAGGAATAGATTTATATAACCGGTATGTTATTCTTCAAATTTAACAGAAAATACATCAAAATCAAGATTTATTTACATGCTAGATAATTACCAAGAGAGGTGCCAACTAGGATTGCTGTTGGTGTGGCGAGACCCAAAGCACAAGGGCAGGAAACAACCTGGAAAGGTAAAATCGGCATTACAAACTGTTAGCGCAAATAAATTTTTTTTGCTCAAATCACTTTCTGTGACAATTCTCTGATAAAATTTTTACATTTTTCAAGCAACCATCTTGAAATGATACCAAGTAATTCTCACTATATTGAGATTACTGTCATAACAAATTAACTTTCTGGCAATCAAATGGATAAAAAATGCAAACATTCAGGCAACTAATATTTAGGCAATAAGCCGGTGAAGAAACAAAGGTAAACATAAGAAAACTCACTAAGACGTCCACCGCAAGTTTCAAACTCAAAAGTAAGGGATCTCCATCAGGGCCAGCAATATCATTGAGCAAAACATCTGGAAATATGTGCGACCCAACATAATACCTAGACACAAAAAGCAACATGGAGAGAGAGAGACAAGATTAGCTGGTAGGTACACAATAAGCGGGATGCTAAGAGAAAATAACACATCTATAAGCAACCAAAACAAAAGCCCACAGGACCAGCATTATCTGGTTTGAGTTAAAAAAAAGCATGGATAAAGGGTAACTCAAGAAATCAGAAAGTTAATGCAGAAAAATATACTTCTAGAATAAAACAAGGTTTTGGGAAAAACGCATACTTTTACAGTGTTTCCTTAAATTAATGACTCAGTTGTCACAAGTGTATGCCAAATGCTGGATCTTGGGGGGAATGATCAGGAGTGAGCAACAAGAAATGGAGTGAAGATAAAACTGATACACTTTGTCCATAGATAGGATTTCAACTATTTGAATTGCAGATTGAATGCCAATTACCCATTTTAGTTTTTTGGAAGTATCTACGAGATACAGAAATATATTGTAATAATAAATATATTAGAATCCCGTCTTGTCCATCTATTTTAAGAATCTAATTATTATCACTCTTTCTGAAGTTACATTAGAAGAAAAGACCCCATACCAAAAAGCAAAGGTTTCTGCGGACAGAGTCATTATGCTGTATACAAATGGCCCAGCTATAGCATCCGCGAGCCTTTGTACAGGTGCTTCTTGTCCTTGAGCATCCTCAACCTAAAAAATTGTTGCACATTTTTTAGTCGTTATAAAAGGAAGCAACATTTTGCTATTTGATATTAGAAATGAAACAAGAATGGAGCAATTATATCCTGTGCAGCAGACACATAGTGACTCATATCAAGCATCAGATGTGAGGGCATGACTGTATGACTATTAACTAGTCACTAATCCGATAAAAAAGGTTCATTAGGGCACTAACCATGCGTACGATCTTAGAAATAGTTGAGTTGGAGCCTGTGGAAGTTGCTTCTATTCTTAAAGGACCATCCTGAAGTAGAACATTCATAAACATAAATTATCGCATGGGTAATGGGATCAATCTAATATTCTTAAGATATAATTTATAAAATATCCGACTAATACCAACATTTAATCTTTCTGGAAAAAAAACTCATTCAGGTCTAGTCATTCCAAGAAATCCAGCTAACATGCATTTACTACAAAAGTTTATTCCTATATATCTGAAATAAGAAATGGTCAAGTATTTCTTACCCTTAAGTAAATGCTAGTGCCTAGCGGCATAATTCATAGCATTGCTAAATGTATTCCTCAAAATATCTTACCCAATTTATTGTTCCAGCTGAAACCATAAGATCTTTTTCCTTGAATACTGGAAGTGATTCTCCAGTCAGCATGGATTCATCAACCACACTTCTTCCTGCAAGAACTTTTCCCTGTGTAGGGAATTCTAATTTGAGCATAAGTACACAAATGCATGTGGTAAATTTAATTATACAGAGATTACAGAAGGTTCATCTTAGTCTCATATCATTATCAATATGTTGTTCGCTTTAACTGAAAATACAAAGGGAACGTCTGTGTATGGACCAAGTTATGAGTTAGACTATAGATGTACTAAATTTTAATTTAACATATTAACTTACATCTACAGGAATTGTTTCTCCAGGCAAAACTAACACAGAGTCTCCAACTCGAATATCATCTGAGGGGATCTCAATGCAAATAGCATCAGAGCAAAGTACAGAATCAGCAGAGGAACCAGTGTCTGATGAAGTAATCACGAGTCTTGATTGAGTCGATATCAATGACTGCAAAAACAATGATCTAATGTGAAATCAATCAAATGAAATTAAGAAGAGTGATATTGTAAAAGCATGTTATATAACTAAATCTTAGTTTTAAGGATCCATAGTCTGTAAGCCAGGAGGCATTGATCACCAAGCATGACAATAAGTATAATAACACCACAAGAAAGTAATTTAAGACTCACTAAAAGTTCATTCATGTCGCAGGATGCACTAATCCTTGCTCTTTCTTCCAAAGAACGTCCCAGGAGCACAAAACCAAGAAGCATGACCTGCATGCCAAGATACAGGAATGCTTCATGAGAAGCTATAATCAACCAAACCAAAATTAACAGACTTCCCATCTAAATGGCTTCAGCATTAAAGAAATAATGAAGAAAAAGAAAACTTATTGTTGTGGGCAAAAATATAGTAATGGAAATATTGTAAATAATGATCTAGGCAACCTATATTATGACACTTTGGAATAGTTACAGAGGCAAGGAAAAAATATTGAAAATTTCTAAATCTTTTTCTATCGTCTTCTTTGTCTCACTCATCTTCTTGTCCTTGTTCTTCTATTCTCTATTACTTATTATCTCAGGTTCTTAGCTAATTTTGACTTGGCCTGTATCACTTATTATGATATTTGGTAGCTATAGGAGAACCATGATTTAAAAGATAATTCCTGGAAAGGAGTAAAAGTAGGGGAAATCACCGGTTCATCAAAGAATGAAGCATCCCATTCAAGTCCAGGGTCAAGAAGTGAGACCTACAAGAAAAAGGCAAATATATGCACCAACGGAACTTAGCATATCATGTACATGATTCCATTCTGAGAAAACCAAAGAAAAGAGAAGAAGAAAGAAAAATCTCACTGCACTAATGATAAATGCAGCAAATGATCCAAACCCCACAAGAGAATTCATATTGGGTGATCCTTTCTTGAACTACATTAATCCATCAACTAGCAAGTCTGCAAAACATTTTTGACAACTTAAGTCAACCTTCACTCACTGGTCACTAGTGACAACAGCGTTAAGACACTTTGGAAAGAGTTTTGCTATTAACTGCCTTAAGACCAACAAACATATTCCTTAAATATCGGTTGTATTTGGAAACTTCAATTTCAAAATTAGTTTAGAATTATATGATAAAACATATATTGATGTAATTTTAAGAATTGTTTTTGAAATTCATGAAATTGTGCATGCCCACTTAGTAGCTCTCAAACCAAGGACGAAAAAACAACACTCCCTTCTATCATTAAGGCTACTCAATGGTCAATCGGTTCATTCTCGCAATTTCTATAGCAAAAAAATACAAACCCAAGGTTTCAAATCCATATTTCCAAACAAAGAAATTTCTTAAATACCAGCTAAATACATGTTAATGCATGTGAAAACAATAAGGGATAAAAACAGCAAACCTCTTCCAGGCCCCAACAAAGCCGTCAAAGCCAATCCACCTTTAATATAAGAATTATGGAGGACCTCCAAAAACGATCCTGAATACATAATTAAATCAAGGGCATCAATATCACATTTCAAATTTAAATAAGAAATTGAATGTATTGAATTAGATTAAATTGAATTACCATGGCCGATATGAATCCCTAGCGAATGCAAAAAATGTGAAGCATGAGCCCCACAACATAGCGCCACCAATGTCCAAGCAAAAGCCACTCGATTCCTACTCTTCACCAACAATTCATCTTTCTTCTTCGAAATTTCCTTCCATTTCCTTACATTCTCCCCGATTCCGAGCCCCGAAACCCTCCTCTTAGCCGTGAACCCGCACTCGCTCACGCGCTGAGCTATACTCTCCGCAACACTCTCCACGGTGTCGCTCTCCATCACCTCCTTCCTCAACTTTATCGCCGCTGTCTCGGTCAACAAATTCACAACTACCGATTCCACTCGCTCGTCGGATGAGATAACTGATTTGACTCGGGACACGCATCCTCCGCACATCATACCGTTGACATCAAGGAGAACCGACGAATCTTTAAGCTTAGACGATTCCTCCGGCTTTAATCTAGTCTCCAATGAATTGTACAAGACTAATCCAGGAATTGACTGAGGCCGAAAATGGAAACGTAGGTGACATCGTCGTTTCTGCAAGTCAAAGCTGTCTACTTTGAGTTTCGAGCCATTACCGAAACAGAGCTTTGGCTGAGTTGATAGAGAGAGCCTTAACAGATTCTCCGCCATAGACATTGTTTGTTCGCATAAGAAGACAACAACAACAAAGAACGCACTGAAATTTGAGGAAGACGATCCTTGATGAAACGAACGACGAGCACCACAGCTCGATAATTTAAAACGATTATCCAATTACATTACGCCACGTAATTAGAAATATATCCGCATGCTTTTTTCGTTGCAAATATTACATCAAAAACTCCACCTAACCTTTGTGGTCTATATTCTACGCGCCAGCCACGTCAGCCTGAAATCCGGATTCAATTATAATTTTGATAAATTATGCGTTTAGTGATTAAACTATCAATTTTAATCTGTTTTAATACCTAAACTTTTAATTTCTCCAAAATAATACCTAAAATTTAGTTTTTGTTTCATTTTAGTACTCCATTCAAAATTTAACGTCTAATTTTGAAAAAAATGAAAGTTTTGTACTAAAACGGACTAAGACTAATAGTTTAGGTACTAAACGAGTTAAATTTTTAATAGTGGGATACCCTATAATTTTTTAGGATAAAATATTTTTGTCCCTGAACTTGGTAACATTTATCAATTAGGTCCTTCAATTTGTTTATCCGCATTAACCTCTAAAATTGAGAATTTTTTCTCATTTAGTCCTTTTGACGTGTCACACCGGTTTCAATGCTCTTGGCTTCTTCTTCTTCTTCTTCTTCTTTTTAAAACAATGGCAACTGAATTTCATTAATAAAAATAAAGGAATCAAAATTACAACGCATCCAAAGTGAATTGAAAACAATAGTCATCAAAACCTCTTACATAAAATAAAAACATTAAACTCAAAGATACGAAGAGATTGAAACCTTCCTAACATAAAAACAATCTAATAACCTTCTTAAAACTCTTTGTCGATGTGATAAAGGAGTTGTGAGCGAACCAAACAATTTGGCTGACTGCTTCACTATACAATTCTGATTATATCGAAAAACGACCATTTACAAAAGAGGGGATCTAACAATACGTGACCATCGACAAGCCAATCAGAAAACAAATGTTGTGAGGATCTTTGTGGAAGCACCAACACGACCGCAGAAGTATGCGAAAAACTTACCGAGAACGTGTCACAAGAGCAGAGAAAAGCGTTTCAAAAAGACATATATTCTTATTTAAAAGAATTAAGAAAAAAACAAAAGCATAATATGAGAAAAGAAAAGAAAAATAATAATCACTGGTGGTCGGCAATTAATATTAAGATTAATATCGTCACTGGTTAAAAAAAACAAAGGAAGAGAATAAGACGACAGAAGAATATTGAGAGAGAAAAATTCTCTTGGCTTCTTCTTTTGTTTGCTTTTCTTTATTTAATAATCTTTGGGATGACATTATCTTTCTTTATTTAGTCATCTCTGAGATATATATAAATAATTCTGTAATTCTGTATTATTTTGGTCGGTTCAGTACTTTATAGAATGGCAAATGAAGAACGTGTATAGATTCGAGAACAACGTAAGCGTGAATTTTGTCTAAATCTATTTTGTTCAAACATATTATAATTACCAAACGTTTATGTTCTAAAACGAACCAAAACCGATAGTTAATAACCCGTTCAAAATTTAACATTAAATTTTAATTTTTTTTAAAGTTTAAGTTCTAAAACGAACTAAAACCAATAGTTAATGTACTAAACGCATATTAAGTTTTTAATGACGAAATACTAAAATAAAACAAAAATTAAACATTAAATATGATTTTTTAAAAAAATTAAAAATTCAGATACTAGAACAAACCAAAATTAATAGTATAGATACTAAATGCGTAGTTCACCCAAGAAGAAAAAAGAATTACATAAATGTATGACAGCCTACAAATTTGAGTTTAAATTAACACAATCAAATATAGAGGCATAGAGACCACTGTTACAGTATACTACCCTAATGTAATTTTAGGGTTTAAATGGGGGCGGCTCCCACCTCCCCCGTTGCAGTTCCTTCTGTCAATAGGAAAAAAATCAATAAGTCCATACACGTACATGCACACGTAAATATATCCGAAAAGGAGACATGGAGCAATGGTGAATGATTATTTATTTACACACAGAGGCAATCATCAGAAAATATCAAGCTGTTGCTGCTGTGATATCCGCTTCCAAAGTGAAATCGAAATTCTCGGACCGCATTCACATCATGCAGGTGACAAACTATTATAAATACGCCTCAAGCTGGGGCAAACAGCACGAAATGTTCCCGTACTCGTCGAGTAAATCTATCACTCACAGCGTTAGAAACATTAACGAACTATATAAGGGACGATATACCGAGCTTTAAGCGTTTGAATGAAATTGCAAAGGAAACTTAGAGCAGCCAGTGAACCGATAGAAGGTAAGGACTTTCAGTGATGCGAGCAAAGAAGTAAGGAAAGCAAGAAAAATGCCCTCACCTTCGGACAAAAACGAACATCCAAAGTCTCCAGCATGCCACACCGTGATATAGCAACTTCAACAGCTTCTTCCTCAATGTTGCAAGACTTAAAATGGCCATTATGCAAAAGGAAATAAATGAATATAAAAGCATTGCACATATGATTGTGTGTTACAACTGACAAATGAATCAAAATGGCTTGGCATGAAGGAAACAGGAATCTGAAAAGAGGATTTAGAGCCAGGAAGCGTACTCCATGGAAAAGGCAACACATTCGGAGTCGGCAAAATTGATAACTTTTACATCAAATTAAAAAGGCAACTTTCACACCATATTACATCAGGCAAAACCAAAAGAACTACTTATGCCTAGTAAAAACCAAGCATCTTTAAGAATATACTCCTCAAATGAAAATCACCAGAACATAGGAGTAAAAAGCTGCTCTAAAACCTTTCTGGTGCAGACAGGTTCTTCCAAAAAGCAATGCGCTGGTTGGCGGTGGAGGAAAGTATTAAAGTTGTGGGACGAAGGCACGAAGCTGCAGTTATGTTTCAAAAGTTGGATCAAGACAGAAAGTTACTGCTGCTAATATATGGGAGGGAATGGAACTAAGAGTGCAAAAGTTGTTTGGCAAAGAGTTATTTGGTTCCCTTTTCATATTCCCAAACATGCTTTTATTTGTTGGATGATCATACTAGACAGGCTGCCAACGAGAGAGGCTCATTCGGATGGGATTGCATATTGAAGGGCACTGCTTGATGTGCCAAGGTCATTTGGAAGATAAGAACCATTTGTTTGCCAGTAGTAATTTTGCAATAAAAAACACTTGAAACATGTGGTTTCGAATACTGAGAAATGAGGTTGCTTACCTGAAGAAAGAGACTAGTCAGTCTAGGACAACTGAGCTTCAAAACTTCCAAAGAACAACAATTGCTGCATTCGGATATGGGCAGAAAATCTTAGGACTAAATAAACAAATAGAAACCATAATTAAAGAGGAGAATTTACATACCTTAGATTAAGAAAAGTCAAACTGAAACAAACAAGATCAGCTTCCTTTAAATTGGCTGACAAAGAAAGATTTAGGGATGACATATGGAAACAACGAGCTGCTGGCGGGATGAGCACTTTCCTAATATTGGGACAGCCTACACAGTTCAGGTTCTGCAGTAAGCGGTTCCCTTGCTTGACTTGTTCATCGATGTTCTCAAAAGAGAACATGCTAGATCCATCACGTACACCACGGAACTCAAATCGGCTAGCAGTAGAACCCCAATTCAGGTCATGCATATGTGTACATCCATTCAAGCTCAAATGGGTAAGGTATGTGCAAGAAGCAAGAAGCTCCTCTACGGCAGTTTGGCACAGGGTACCATATGACAAATCCAAATCCTGAAGTTCTCGTAGAGCACCTTCCTTGTAAAGAGGCTCCAATGATGAGTCAGATAGATATTTGCAAGCTTGTAATTTTAGCACCTAAAAGAAAGAAAAGGAAAAGTAAGCAAAAGAATATGGAATGAAATATGGAAAACACGGAGCATCCAAAATAATTAAAGAATTTTCTTAGAATTGCTTTAATGATATGAGAGAAACAACGAAATGGATGTCATGAGTGAAAATTATCCACAAAAGTGACTAAAATGGTATTAGCATTTTAGTTGAAAACCCAGAATCATTAAGAGCACAAACTGACGCAACATTCATGCATTCATCAGGTACTGGTAGTACAATCAACTGAACAAGAAACAACTCAATTACGCCATGTATGGCCCATCAATTCATACTTATATATCAAGGATTTACAAGTTACCTTGAGCTGCAAACAAGACTCAAAAACAGGCTGCAAATTTGTCAAAAAGGTATATGACAAATCAAGTATCGTTAAATTCGGAAGCCAGCGCAAAGAGTAAAGACCCTCAAAACCAATGGATGGGCATGACATCAATATTAAAGACTCGATCAGAGGGCAGGAAGCAGCGGTTGCAGATAAGCAATCATCCTTAAGTTGGCTGCATGCAAAATCAAATACAAACATCAGCCATGGAACAGAGTAAAGATTACAAAAAAAGGTAACAAAACAAACCTGCAAAAAGAAGCATCAAGAGATGTCAATAGAGGACAGTTTATGGATGCTTCAGATAAGACGCCACATCCTTTCAGCTCAAGTGACACCATATAAGGAGCATCTATTCCGAGGGTGTTCAGTTTGGGACATATTCCAAGATTAAGTGACAGAAGAGCCACCTAAAAACAGGGAAATTCTCAGGCATTATATTTTATATATGGTAAGAGATTGCATGCAAGTTGATAACACAAAAGTAATTTCAGATAAAGTAAACTTACAGGACAAAATGAAGCTCTTTCCAGTCGGTCACAGCCATCTAAACATATTTTCTCAAGACATGGACATACAAGATCCAGAGTAGTAATTGCACGACAACCAACCAGTGATAGACTGACTAAAGATGTACTGGAGAACTGCAATGCTGTCAAGATCTGGTAAAGATTAAAAACAAACAAAGATCTTTGTCAGAAGCCAAAATAATGACTCGTAACGATCCAGACAAGAAACGATTAAAGAATATTGGTAAACGATGTTAGATACAGACCGGACCTCAGATAAATCTATAGCACCATTGAAAGTGACCAAAGAGCTGAGATAAAACCAATCTTATAGATCTATATCATCTCAAGCCTATTATCACTCTGTCTTTGAAACGTGTATCTATTATCTTAAGTCTCATTTATCACCCAATCTTTCCAAGTTCCCCTAGTAAGGCCCTTATCCATAGACATACATGAGATAAGAGAAAATACCAACTATACAGGAAGAACCTATTCGCAAACCTCACAATTATCCAGAACCAATGATTTTAGCATAGGGCATCCACCACCATCACTAAAGACGTTGCAAATAGAATTTGTCAAAGATGCACAATCTGTGAGATCTACTTCTTGCAAATCCCGACACTGCAATGCCAACATTGTCAAATTTTCCTGCTTCTGCAATGCTAATTTCTGCATTTTCATGAAACCATCTCAATAAGTCAAACTCTTATCAACAACTAGATCTGTAAAAGAGACGAGACAGATCGCAAGCTACTTGAGTTTGACTCGGTCAAAGCTCAGTCAATACTAGAGCTCAAACTTGACTTGAGTTCTTAATGAGCCAAAATGAGCTACTTGATACCCGATTCGAAAAGCACACAAACAACTCGAAAAAATAATATATTAAAATTTTAAATTAAATTATTAATAATATTAACATTTATATTTTTTTATAAAAAAAAATATAGTGTAAGGTTTTCATATACTTAAGGTTCAAGTTCGAGCTCAAGTTTGAGCTTCAATCGAGCTAAGCTTGAGAATGCTTCAAGTTTTTTCGAGCTCAATTCGAGCTTCAATTTTTTATTATGAATTCAAATCGAGTTTGATAATTTTAAGCTCGTGAGTTTTCGAGTCGAGTAGAGCTCAACTTTGAACTTTTTGAGTTGAGTCAAGCTCAGCAATACTCGAGCTTGACTCAGCTCGTTTACAGCCCTATCAACAACCAGGACAACAATTACGATTAAATGGTGCATTAAAATAAATACCTGAAGTGCATTTGAACTGATGTTAATGCGATGGAGTGCGACACATTTGGACACCGTTATTGATGATAGCATGGAACATTGTACATTCAGGTCAGAAAATCTGCGTGGTAGAAATTATCAATTATTATAAAATAAAGACAGGGGGAATGAAAAAGAAAAACAAAAGTCCAGCCAAAAACAATGGGGCAATCTTTTGGATATTGGTAATAAAATGAAAGGGGAATTGATGTAAAAAAATATACTTTCGACAATGAACAAGTCGAATTTTCTGCAAACGAGGAAGATCCAGTGACACTGATGTCAACGTGTGGCAATTATCAAGTTCCAATTCCTGCAACAGATAAAAGAATCAGTACAGACAACTAGAAAAATTTAATAGGGATAGAAAAAGCATCTAGGTAGCAGCAATATATAAGAGAAAAATGATTCAAACCTCCAACATATAACTGTATGCTATTGCACCCATTGAAGCCGAAGTGATACCCTCACAGTTGTCAAGCTTAAGAACCGTTAACATTGGTAGTCTTACAGACTTCACAGAAAGAAAATGCATCAAAATATGGCTTAACCAGAAAGCGGCACTAATTAGAACTAAATTAACCATTTGCAAAATCTGACCTCAAGAGATATGTTAGGACAATATGACGAATTCAGAACATGGAGAACAGAACAAGAGCGAGCTATTTCTTGCAATGTTTCATCACTAACACACGAACAATTTGACATGTCTAAAGACTCTAATTGAGGGCAAGAAGTCACTGCGGAACGAATTGCTGCATCTGTAAGTTTGTGGCATGCGCTTATATCAAGCAGCTGTAAAAGGGGGCAATTAAGGGCTGCCTGTGCCATATTACTACGTTTCAAGGACAAACTCTTTAATAGTGGGCACCTGCAAAAGATCAGATGTTAGCATAGCGGAAGAACAGATTGACATCAAAATATAGTTTACAATCAAATCTAGATTTTGCTTCACCTGATGGATATACGCATCACACGGCATTTAGTTACTTTCAGATCACATAACCTATCATGGTTAATAGGTATCTCTTGACCACCATCACCGAGAATAGCATCATTCACATCCAAACTCCTTAACATACTACACTCAGTCAATGCATGGAAAAAGGCATCCCCTAGTAGCCCTTTTCCCAATGTTAAAGCCTCAAGATTTCTACCAATCAGAAATTTTTATACATATTAATAAGAGGCTGTGCAAAATTCATTTTATTAGAATATAAAATATTTCAACAAAATATTACCGTAATGAATTGACAGCTTTCATAACAAGAAGGTGCATGCTAGGAGTGCCACTCAGGTTCACTTCAGTGGCATTTGGATATCTCTGACAAATGTCATCAACTGCAAGATCAAAATGCAACGTTATTGCATTCTGGCATCCAATTTCATTACATCAATGTACCATTTTCTCATGCAAAATAATATTATAATCGAATACCCATATAGTTTTCTTATCTAAAAAGTAGTGTCAATTCCAAGCAATTTCTAAACTTTGTTTGGAGCACACTGTTTAAACTAAATGAGAACTAAGTAAAGATATTGAGCAAATCTGAGACTCACATTGTTCAAGAGATATATTCCGGTTTTCAAAGTTCAAACATCTCCAAAAATTCTCATGAGCACTAGCTGATCGCCACTGCCTACAAATCATGGCAGCATTACAAAGATTACGATGATCCAAGAAGGAGAACACCTAAAAAAAAGGAAAACAAACAAAAGGCTCAATAATATAAAACAATACAAAAAATAATAAAAACTGAAATAGTGTAATTAATCAATCTGCCTACCATATGCAATAAATCATCAGTTAGATCCATTCGAATCTCAAAATCTTCAGCTTTCAAACCACCTTCATTTTCCTCCTCATTCCCACCTTTTCCATCAAAAGGATGGCCATCACTCTCATTATTCGACATGAAATTGTGATAAAATAACCCATTATTAGACGAAATTGATAAGCATTGTTTGATACTATAATCTCTCTCTGCTGATAAGTAAGAGGTGCTGCAATATAAACTTCTCAGAATAAGTATGAAAACAGAATAAATTTCTTCAAAAAAGTTGTCTAGAGTAATCTAGTTAACTCACTGATATAAGGTGTGGACTTTAGCTCGCTTGTGGTGCGAATCGTGGTGTTCACAATCATTTACGGCAGCTGAAGAGGAGGCGCAAGTCTCACCGATGAAAGAACGCGAGAAGCCAACTGAATGGCGCAACATAGAATCGACCCAGTTCCCACCGTATCTCGTGGCGGTGGAATTTTCTTGAAACGACAGCACCGTCTCGTCTCCCTGTCGTTGACTGTTAAGGGTTCTGTTTAGGGAAACAGATAGACCGGCGGAGGCTTCTTCGTCGCTGTCATTTGCAATATTACCCTCAATGTCGTCGACATTTGCCAAAAAACCCTCCTTCATGGTTCCTCCCCGTTGATTATTGTGCCCTTCGTCGTCGATAAACCAAATGCAGCACCAAATCTTCATACACCCGGAGGTCAAAACCCCAACCCCTCCACTAAACAAAGAAAAACCCTAACTCACAATCCTCGACATTTCATTCCCTGAAAAAAATGATATATTTATTTCTTTTTCAGTGCTCAGCTCTCTTGGGATCCCTATCAATTTTTCACAAAGAAAGCGATTTCGATGCTTCAATCTTTCAGAAAATCCAAAAAAGAAACGATTGATACATACAAACAAAGAGACGGAGCTGTGAACTTTAGAGAGGGGAACTAACACGGCCGGATCTGATCGGATCTTTAAGAGCTGGTAGTTAAAAAGATCACTTCATTGCTCTTTAAGCAAGCAATAAAGATTAATAGAAGAAGGGACCGAAGCTTACGGGTGAAACAATCCGAGAATTTGTGCTATTATTCAAATTTAGGGTGTGTTGTTTGCCGTAGTTTGAATTACGGAATTGGTTTTCTCTAAGTTATAATATTTATTTCACGTAATTCGTTTTTTGAAAAATATTTTTTCGTGTTTGTTTTATATAATTGATTTTTCAGAATATAATTTATTTTCCTAGTAATAGAATTTCTTTTATATTTTTTGTAAAATGACTTACGGATTCATTTTTCGTAAGTCATTTTTTAAACTTTTCATTTTAAAGAATAAATATTCAAAATAATTTTATTTTATAAATTTAATATTAATAAAATATTTTAATATTATTTATTTATTCATATTTATAATATAATATTATATTTTTAATATTACATAAAATAATCAATTATATTATAATAATATAAGATATTTTATTTTTATTTTAATAATATATAATAAAAATTTATATATTTAATAATGAATAATATTATTTATATATTTAAATAATATTTTAATAAATATATTTAAAATAAACTTAATTAATATTTTTAAAATATAATATAACACTATTACTTTAATAAATAATTTATAATATTTATAATATTTTATTTCACTAGAATATACAAAAATTATTATTTTTAATAATAAAAAAGTTTTATGATAAATAATATTATTTATTGTATTTAATATTTGTAATAAATAATTTTTAAAAAACTCTTCAACTAGTAGAAAAAAGGTTTAAATAACATATTCCAAACATCATAAAACGTTTTTCAGATGTTTTTCAGAAAAATGTAATTCATTTTACGGAAAACATTTTTCATAAATGTAATTCATTTTCCAGAATTTAAATTCCAGTAATTCAAATTCCAATAATTTAAATTCCAGTAATTTATTTTCCGAAAAACCAATTACAGCCAAACAAACAGATTAAATGGAATAACTGTACTTTTTTCTTTCTTTTTCCCCTATTTTCTGATTTTATTCAAGACAACGGGCAATGGAAATTTTTCTTGTGTTTTTATGAGAGAGAGAACGACACCGTTTAGGATTGGATGGTATGGATAGTCTCTATTTGATTTTGTTGTGTTCAAAACAAATATTTATATTATTATTTTAAATAAATACAAATCAATATCTATTCAAAAATAAATTGTCAATTGACATTGAACGTTCACAATCTTAACATTTTCAATGCTTAAACTCGAGACCTCAAGGAATAAAAACAATTCATTTACCATTAAAGTCTAAGATAATTATAAACTTTAGAATATATATTTTCAACATATTAAATTTAAACTAGAGTATACTAATTATAATATATATATATATATAGTCTAAAGTAATATATATTAAAAAATTAAATTTATTAACGGAGTATACACACTATATAGATGTAACTATTTAAACTCATAATTTCTATAAAATAAATTCTCTTTTATCACTAACACTACATATAATAAATATATCTCACATTGAATTTAGAGAATCATTTGGTGTTGAATTGATGTCTAAATCGCTACTTATATTAATTTAGAATTTGATATGTAATTTGAGGATTTTGTATAAATTTAATTAGAGATATATAATTCAAATTTGATGAATTTTGGTTTGATATGATTCTATAAGGTTATTTTTATTTTACTAGAAAAATTAAATAAAGTCGATCGAATTTGAATTTAAAGTTAATTTTTTTTATCTAACATGAAATATGAATAATACGATAATTGTCATTTATATATTTAAGAACACTTGCTATAATATCTCGTTATATATATTTCATTAATTAGGTCCTATTTTATTTAATAAAAATGAGAATTTATATATGTGTAACTGTGTAAGTATGTGTCGGAGTGTAAAATCTTACTTTAAAAGTTTAGTTTTTTTAGATTATTGAGAAAATATTATTATTATAATTATATCTAAATATATAAGAAATAATTATATTATAGATCGAGCCATGTCGAAGGTCTTTTTATCTTAAATATGATGTAACTTTATCCTAAAAAATATATAACTCGACCCAAACTTTTTTTTTTTTAAATAAACTTTATAAGATTATATCATATCAAAATCCATCAAGTTCGTATCTCATTCTCGTACCCATCCCTACTTTAAATATATATCAAATAAAATGATTACAATTAGAATAATTTAACATGCATAAATATTATGATATTTATAATTAATACACAAATACATTTATTAATACAAAAATATTTTTTTATATCTATTAATACACAAATAAATCTATTATAATTAGTTTCATGATATTTCCAAAATCTCATATATGAAAAATATTATGGGTTTAAACATTGTCGAAACAATAATTTATTTTTTTATAATTTTCGGCAATAATTTTTAAATTATCACAAATATAAATCTCGAATTAGAATTTACTTCATATATTATTGATTTTTTTTTATTGATTTTAACTATTTCCCATGCCAACTTTCTCATTATTTATTTATGACATAAAAATATAAAAAAATAATATACTATTTTCCTATTTGTTACTTTTTAAATTTAATATGATTATAGTAAATGTCAAATGGTTTTCTGATTAGGAAACACGTGGGTCCCCGATAATTCCAGATCAACGATAAAGAAGAGATATGGAAAGAGATCCGACGGTTGACAACGGTTAACTCTTTGGTTCTTTCTAAATGGCCGTCCACCCCCGTTCCAAATACGTGTGAAAACGGGTATCGTTACTTGTTACCCAAGTATTCTTTAAAAATGTTACACTAGGTTGGCATTATGTTTTAATAAAAAAAAACAATTATTGATTAATTAGTCTCGGTAGTTAAGATGAGTGTTATCCCTAAAAATTTTGAATTTGAACAGTTATTTTTGTAGAGTACGTGTGATGTAGTAGTTAAGAAAGATTTTAAATGGATAATACTTTATAATCACATCGGACTAAGAAAAAAGTTATACCGTTTAAGAAATGGGGTTGAATTAGGGATAAATATGGATCCAGTCAGGTTTTTAACCTACTCGAATCTAGTGTGCATATCATAATATTTACCAATCACCTTATTCGATCCAAAAATCAACTGAATTTTTGAAGTAAAATTCACACTCGTATTTGCTCTGATCGGTCTATATCAAGGGTATTCAAAATCGTATACTCACATTTTTTAGGTCCCCGAAGTATCGGGTACGCGGTTCTCCGGGTAGTATATTTGTCGACCCGTGACATATCCCAAGTCCTGGTAGCCGTAAAATTCGGGTATTTATATTTTTGGGTCACGAGTATCCCATTTATCTTTTTTTTTTAAAATTTAAAATTTATTTTTTTAAATCATATAAAAAATAAAAAAGAAATTTAAAAGTTCATCATACAAAATTCATACATAAAAATTAGTGATTTAAAGTTAGTTTTAAAGATATATATAAAAGTTTATTTCCAAAAATAACAAATTAAAATTATTAATATCGATCATGATTTTTTTAATCTCATATTGACAAATTAATAAAAAGTTTTTGTAAATTGTAAAATTTAAAAGTACATAATACAAATCTAATAAAAAAATTAAGGATTTAAATTTAATTTTAAGGTAAAAATATTAAGGAACATGAAATAAAAATATAATTTAAACTAGAAATATATATGTATATTAATATTATCGGGTAGGGTCAAGTATATGGTTATAAAAAATTCAGTCTAGACTCGGCCCAACTACTTGGAAAAATCACGGTTCGGGTAATTTTTTAGAGAATTATCCGATATTTTTAGGTTCGGATCGATGGACCATATCAACGAGGTCGAGTCTTTTTTAACACCTCTAGTCTATATATATAAGAGATAATTATATTTTTATCTCGGATTAAAAAAAATTCACCATGGATCTAATTAAAACCTAATTTTTAAAAAAAAGTTATAATTTAAATCAAGTCAAAACTCATCAAATTCGAATCTTATATCTATCCCTATTATTTGAGGACAACTGCGAATGGACTTTCATTCGGTAAACCATTTTTACTTTCTACAAGGCCAATAGCCAGTTAATGTTGGCCTTTATCAACGGGCTTAAACCATTTTTAATGGATAACTAGCTAGGGGACAGCTACTCATGGACTATATTTAAATATTACCTAAAAATGGTTTAGAACCAATGGGATCACATAATGTCTCTAGTCTGTATACCTACTGTTGCCTTCACAGAGTGCTTTGCACCTTTCTTCCTAGGCAGAAGCATGAAGCATGAAGCATGAAGCATGAAGCATGAAGCATGAAGCATGAAGCATGAAGCATGAAGCATGAAGCATGAAGCATGAAGCATGAAGCATGAAGCATGAAGCATCCAAGGACAAAAGCTCAAGGGACTACTCAAAGTTTTCCCGGCACGAACCAAGTAACTTCGATGATAAAAGAATATTATTATTTCTTGAGGTTTTGGGTTCGAGTACCAAGAATATAAGGAGTGTTTGAGTTATCTTTAAATATATACTACCTTGTACTTACTTCAGATTAATAAAAAAATAATTTATTTTCCTAATCAATTCAATAATGACACTACCATTTTCGTCTAATGACAGGTGTAATTAACAAATTTTAACCACTAGTGATTAAAATGAAATGAAACTTAAATTTGATTCATACATGTTTTGTTATTGGTACGGTTGTAAACGACATGAGTTGAGCTTGAGACTCGAAAATTATAAAATGGAGTTCAACTTGAAAACTCGTAAGTCGAAAATTATCAAACTTGACTTGAACTCGAAAGCATGATCTGAAGCTTGAAATGGAAAAAAAACTTGAACTTAATTCGATTGAAACCTCAACTTCAAACTCGAACCTGAACCGTACATACATGCAAAATCTTATACTGTATTTAAAAAAATTAACACATAAATGTTAATATTATTAATGATTAATTTTTTAAAAAACCAAATCTTAATATATTACATTTTCGAACTGTTCGCGAACTTTTATAGTTGAGTATCAAGTAACTCGTTTCGGCTCGTTAAGAATCTGAGTTGAGCTCGAGTTAAGTTCATTCAAGTTAAGTATTTATCGAGCTTTGACCGGATTGATATCGAGTAGATCACGATCTGTCTCATTTCATGTATAACCCTAGCTTTTTGCACCCAAAATTAAAATTGTTGATAGTTGGAGGACTAATTATGTGGTTCATCTAAAAATGTTTTTTTTAAAGAGAGATTGAGGCCAACAGGTGTATAAAAACTTGCTTGCCGATGTCACGCACATCGCACGTGGCAACCTTTCCGTACCCGCTGCGCTATAAAATCCGCGCTTCGTTTTCGGACTTCAATAAACGAACAGAATCCCCGAATTCTATAACGGGAGCAAATATCGACCCAAAAACTGAGTTCATAAATCATAGTTGAACTCTCCGATTCCAACTCAGCCATGTCCGTCCACTTCAAATTCAGAAGCTCGCGCAATTACGATTCGGTCGACATTGGAGGGCGGCCTTCGATTTCAGTTCGTGATCTGAAATCCAGTATCGTCCAGGACAAGAAACTCAATCTTTGCCAAGATTTCGATCTCGTCTTCTCTGATCCTATCTCCGGCCAAGGTTACCTCCCTCTGCTTTAATTTGATTCTCTGCTTGGTTGCTTTGAGGAATCCAACTTCTAAATTAAGTTGTATGGAATTAGAATTTTGAATGAGGATTGAATAACTTCCGTAGCCATTATTACTAAGAACACAAACAGCTCTAGGTCCTAGAAGCTTTATATTCCATGAGTCGCATAAACAGACGCAATACCGTTTTCATGATTTTACGATTTAAGGATTTTATGAAGAATAAGAGTATGATATTGTCTTTTTTTTTTAAACTCTAAAAACATGCAGTTGATGGGAAAAGGTTAAAGAAATCAAAAGATTCAATCATATTGGTTTCAGCATAGCTTAGTTGCGTAGACTGATGTTTTGACACCTACTTTGTTTGTTTGATGGATTTCATACAGAGTACCTGAATGAGGATTTTCAAATACCTTCTGGTTCGAGTGTCATCATAAAGAGAGTTCCTGCAGGGTTAGTGCTCATTCGGTTTACTTGAATTTATTATGTGGCATACTATCTTGGTTACTAACCTATGACGACTCCTTGCAGAGCACAATTTGGCTCATGCAAAGTTTTTGGAACCTCAGATGCCAATAAGAGCAAAATCTGTCATTTACAGGTGAGTTTTATTTCTGCGTTTGATTGCAATTGTTTATCTTAGGATATAGTGATGTTTGCATATTGGATATATTAATTGCATAATTTTATATTGATATGTATAAATAGATTTAGAATTGATTTTGTAGTTTTCTCTTTATTCACGAGTAATGCAATGAAAGAAAAAATTGTTTTATGCTGTTTTCTTTTCAATCTAATTTTGCCTGAAGTTTTACACTATTTCATTGCTGCTTTTTAATATGGTTATTCTACTACAATTTTGGTAAGTTAATGAAATTCAAGATGGATGAAGAACTACAAACTTTTTTTTTTCTCTAAATGATGCGATAACATTTATTTTTCAGAATGCCGAGACTGTCGACTTCGATGACTTTGGGGCAGACATATGCCCTGTACCTGAGGGGAACTTATCTTGCAATATTGATAACAGATTCTGTATTGGTGACGAGGAGAACCATTTCGAATTAAAAAGGTTTCTATCCTTCATTTCTAGTTTCTTTAATGCATTATTTAGTTGCATCAGAAGCTTTGTCTATTTTCAGCCAATTGCTATTATTCCCTCTTGTAATTTTTTTCTTTCTTTCTTTTTATGCATTCAGTTGCTCCAAACAACCTGTCGAAGACTGTCATAAATTTGAAGGGAGTGACATAATCGAGGCCATTCCACAAGGTGTGAAATGTTTCATTTTCCGTTGGCTACTTCTCCATGTGGATGGACCTTTTTCCCCCCACTTAAATGACTTACCATGATGCATTTTTTATATCAGGCCAGATTTTGCCAGGAACAAAATCAAAACCAGACATTGAGCTGAATACTAAATTGTCTGCGTAAGAGCTTTGTCACTTAACCCTCAGTTTTTTTTCTCGTCATTAGTTTGTCTCCGTATTTATCTTTCTTTTACTTTTAAAAGTTCTCTGGTTGTTGAAATTGTGGTAATTGCCAGTTTTCCGGAAATGCAATCTGTTGATTTTCCGTCGGAGCTTAAGTGCTCTCTTTGTGACACATTCTTTAAGGAGGCTGTATTGATTCCCTGCTGCCAGAACAGTTTCTGCGAGAAATGTAAGTATTTTTGTAGTAGTTATGGCATCTTTTCATATTCCTTTTTCTATGTATTGCCAGTGGGTAGCCCTTTATTCTTATTAGTAGTGGAAGAAAATTTGCGAACAAAACGCCTTCGAGTGATTGTTTCTTGTATGCAATTTCAGTGCAACAAGGTTTCTTCTTGTTTCCACCTGTCAGTTCTCCTAATGACGGTGTTTGGTTCGTTGCAGGTATTCTTCATGTGCTGTTTGAGAAGTTAAGGTGTCCCAAATGCTTTTCTACCAAATGCAAAGCGGAGGATTTGTTACCAAATTTGTCACTGAGGCAAGCCACTGAGCAATTCCTAAAGTCTCATATTGTTATTAATGATCCAGCAAAAGCTTTGGAGAGATATGCTCCAGGTATAAAAATAATATCTTTTCTCCTTTCTTCTTACATTATTCTTGGACGGTGAATAAATGCTTAATTATCCAAAAACCAGATGAAGAATCTGGAATTCAAGTTCATGCAGAGAGGGGGTTCAATTGGCTTCATGCAGAACTGAAAGATGGCACTGCTTCTCGTGTCAATAGTAATCATTTGCTCAAAGATAAAATCTCTAAATTACCTGGTCACAAACTAACTGAGGGTATGGAAGATTTTGAAGATTTCCAGGGGGAAAACCAGCCTATTGATGAGGAAGGTATAATCATGTAGAAGTACTAAAGCTATTTACCTTATGATTCTATGTCTAGTCCTTTAGCATTTAGCAGCTGAAGATACAAACTTTATGTTAGATATGTTGTTATTAATTTCATTTTTATTATCTAAAATCTCTATTATTGGAATTCTAACCATTTTCCTTATCTAACTACAGCTGAATCCAATGTCAAGAAGAAGCGGGCATTGTGGGTTAACACTGCAGGTAGACTATTTAAACTAATTTTCACACTGTTCCAAGTCTAATGTAGCTTGTAGACATTGTATCTCGTCTTTTCTTCTGACTAACTTGGTGTTACTTGCAGATGTTGAGAAGAATTATGTGGAGATGGCAAGACAGAAAAAGGTGATATGCTTGTTTATCATATGTTTAAACTGAATGAATCATTACTTGACTTCTTAAGCGTGCAGCATGTAATATATATGCATAAATTTCATTATATGATATATATATCTTCAATAACAGTTGTTTCACATCTGTTGCCCTCTGCCGCATGTCTTACTTTTGGGCTATATTCTTCTGGGTCCAAGTGCCCATCCATACAGTATCAACGGTGTTCCATTTATTCCCAGTTTTTAAGTTTTTGCAAACATGATCCATAACTCTTTTAAATTTTCTAATCAACTTTCGAACCAGTTATTTGCTTGTTAAATAACTGCGATAATTGAAATGATAGTAATATGGAATTCTCATTTGCATGACTAAATTTTAGGGGGACCGTGCTTGCTACATGTGTGGTTCACCTGGTCATTTGAGGAGAAATTGCCCGGCTGTTTCCAGTTCACATCCTATGCTTCAAAGTGGTAAGACCAGATATTTTTTATTTATTTTGTTTTGTTGTTATTTACTGTGCAAAGCTTATTCTAGCTATTCTTATTTTATTAATGTTTGTTGGGATTGTAGGTAATGCCGTGTTTCCGGGAGCAATGCCTGCTTATGTGTCACCATACTGGAACAGGCCATACTTCCCACCTATAAGGGCATTTGCAAACCCATATGACCCATCACCGATTATGCCCCTCAATTCAACAATGTTTCCTGCATATATGCCATCTATGTATGGTGGCTTTGGGTAAGTCTATTTAAATTTTTATAAAACACTTATTTCATTTAGCACAATTATGTATCTGGCTTTGATACTGGTGCATTTTTAGGGGATTTTCAAGGATGGGAGGCACAGCAGCTGCATTGAAAAATAATATAGATCATCAACTATATCCTTCAGAGTTGGATGGTCAAGATTATGTTAAAAGGCGTCGATATGATGAGGCAGAAAAAGCATATGACAGAAAATTTTATCCTGATAGGGAAAGGAGTGGAAGCTTCTCTGAAGACAGCTTTAACAAAAATTCGCTTATGGAAAATTGGCATTCACGGACCGTTGACAAAGTTGTTTATTCAAATGATGAAAGGCTAGATAGAAGTTCTCGAGTTGCTGGTGAAAATCCAAAGCCCTATCATCACTTGGGGAGATCAAGATCAGAAGTTGATGATTTGCCCAGTATATCCAGCAGGCACTCTCGGGAGAGGCATGAGCATGGTCATAGGAGCTCCAAAAAGCACGACAGAAGAGAGCACTGTGAAAGTGATTCTAGTAACAAAAGGAGATATTCAGAAAGAAAAATTGTTAAGCATGTTTCTGAGAAGAAACACCACATTCATTCTGAATCCAGTCCGGAACCGGATCATTCTACCAACCTGAGAAAGACGCGAAGGGAGAAACATTCTGGGCATAAAGCTAAACCGGCACACGATGAAATGATTCATTATAGGTGGCAGATGGCCAGCAGCAGGTCGGACGAAGACAATCAAGGGAAGTATCGATATCATAAAAGGAAAAAGGAATACTAGAACAAGCCTGATGGTTCGAGGTAAATGTGTTTGTAAGTTGCATATCAGAAAATAGTTGGTAAATATGGTATTAGTTTCGATTTCCTTTCCAGTGAGGTAAATGACAGTATATTTCTTTTTCATCTGGTTAGAGTACGGGTTAAGCATGTTGCACCAATCGAACACGGGGATGTTCTGTATCTAATTTTGGTTCTCTGTTGTTTTTGTTGACACAGATATAGTTGACTGGTCGGCTTTTGGACAGTAACTTCATGGAATTAGTTCTTTAAAAGTATATTTCTACTAACCATGTTTCAATTTGTAGCTTTTGCGGGGGAAGCAAGAAATAGGAAAGTTTTGATCAGAGGAGCCATTGCGTAAGTTAAATTTTAGGTTCATTTGCTTTTCAGAAAGTATGAAGATGGTAAAGGTATGCCCCTTATCCAAGAAAGGGTATAAAAGGTGAGTATTTAGGGGATGGTAAAAAGATCCCTATCTGGTTTCGATCCGATTCAATATGGTTGGTTTTTTAAATCAAATTTGGGTTTTAGATCGGACCTGGTCAGGGTTTTTTTCTTAAATATGATCGGATTAAATTTTGGTCTAGGAGAATCTCCAGGTCTGATATGAGGTAATTATAAAATATATTTTTAATTATTTATATATTATTAATTAGAATTTGTGATATTTTATAACTATTTATATATTATTAATTAAGATTTCATAAACATATATGTGAAAAATTAGTATATAAAGAATGTAAAACTTGAAATTAAATTAAAATGTACTTTAATTTGTTATTATTAAATTAAAAATTAAAAATTATTATTTTATTTTATTATTTTACTTTTGATAAATAATATGGAAAACTAAAAATTATACTAAATTAGATCGGATTCTGTCGTAGTCAGGTTTTTTTAGAGTGTTGGGTTGGATTAGATGAAGGTAAACGATTTAAATTTGAGTCGGGTTTTTTAATTAAAATTTTGGGTTGGACTAGAGGACGATAAAAGATATAAATTTGAGTTGGGTTGGGGTCTGGTTTTATTATTATAATGTTAGGTTTTGAATTGATTGAAAATTTATCTATCTGATTTATTGACATCCTTCATAATCAATTACAGTTTTATATTTGTCAAAATCATCCCACCCAAAGTACGAACTTCAAAATTTATTTGCAGTTATTCATATTAGTCCTTTAGTCAGATTGTCATCCCTCATAATCAAGTTACTGTTTCCTAAAAGAAAGCTTAAAACGTTAAATTTTCCTTTAGTCCTTGGAAATTATATATATACGGGATAGGATAATGTTATATAATGTAATTTTTTTAGTTTTACATAGATTTAAGATTGTTGGATGAATAAAAATAGATAATTAGATGAACAATAAAAAATAAGAAGATATTTATTGGAAAAAAATAAAGAGTAATATCAATCATCAATTTTTATTTATCTAACGATTTTAAATATGTAAAATTAAAAAGTTTTACATTAAGTAAGTGGATCGTAATATATTTATATAGAGAAGTTTTAGGGTGATTACAAAATAGTATCTTATTAGAATTTTTCAACTATTGATAATGTACATATTTTTGCAAATATAATTGTCTGAGCCTAGATTTTAGATAGAATAATATTCCTTTTAACAGTTGATGTCTTGAAATTATATATTTTATCATTAGCAATTTTATTATTCATATTATAGTATTATATGATTTAAATTGCATATTATATAAAAAGTTAATATATTGAATAATTAAAAAACGGTTCAAGATGAGATGGAGTCAAGAATCGGCAAAACGGATTAATAAGTAAAATGTGCACTATAAAATAAATTTGGCGAATTAATTAAACTATTACAGTATTCGTTTACTATTTTTATGAAACTTTGAAGTAAAAACTCTTTCCTAAAGGAAAAATAAATGATTAAAATTAGATCATTGTTTTTTTATTTGGTGAATATTTTTTTTTATTTTCTATTGTTAATTTAGTTGTTTATTTTTATTTATCTGAAATTTTTAATCTGTATAGAATTAAAAAAATAACATTGCGTATATCATATAAATATATATATATATATATATATATATATATATATATATATATATATATATTGTTTGTTGCATATTTTTAGCATAACTTTCTTTTTGTGGGGCCATTCGTAACACGATGAACCGGTGCTTAGTGATGGTTACTAAGATAATGTCCTTTGACATGTTATCATTCTAGTATATGGGTTTTTTTTAATGGGTTATTGAGATTACATTATGTGATTGGCTCCAAGTAGTGGGATGTTGAGATTCCATTATAATATTTTTTTCCGACTTCCCAAGATATTTTAACACTGTTGGAAGCCCATTATAGTGTGATCTGCGTTTGTATTGTTGCACTCTAAACAAAAATCTAATCTAAGTTGTAGTTTTTAACATCCCCAACTGAAAAGGTAATTGGAGAAGGATATTAGATAATATTATGGCTTTGTTTGACTGGGTGGAAGAATGGAAGGATGAAAAGAGGTAATAAGAAAATGAAACAAATTTTTTTATTGTATTTGGTAGTAAAAAAAAATTGGGGAAATAAAATAAGAGGAATTTTTCATCATCGTGTATACAAATAAATTATCTTAGATCAAGAGAATTTGAGAAAGATGTAATTTAGTTTAAGATATATGTTTTCAAAAGCTATACTTTATTTTATCAAACACCGAAAAATATTGTATTTTTCTTTCTCCTGACTATCAAGTATATCAATTCTTGTCACTTCTGTTTTTTACCCATTTAATTTTTCTCATCTAATTTTTTTTTTTCAATCTATGAAAAAAAAACTATTTTTTGTCAGAATCCAAATTGAATTGGAAGTGTAGAAGTGGTGGTGCTAAATGCTGATGATTACGGTCTACGGATGCTGAGGAGGACTCGTTCATCATTGAGAGCAAAGACGAGGGAAGCATCCAAGAAGGTCGTTTCTTAGCTTCAACAATGGGTTTTTCCTAATTTTGCTTCTTTCTGCTCTAGTAACCCTTTTTTTAAAATTAATCTAGTATGCTTAGAAGTAGTAGTATATGTTCTAAAGACTCTCAATCATTTTAAAAATAATAATCATATCTTTAATCATTGAGATAATTTGGTTCGTATTGTTGGTCTTAATAACTTGATTTGGGAGTAGGTAATGATCTTATATGAATAATTTTAATTTATATCTGTAGAGTTTATAATCATATTAATGCTCAACGGGTGTATGGTGGTGAGTATTTCCCGACTGTCAGGTGATCAACCCGGGTTCAATCCCCATTCTTTCATGTCCATGACCAGTTTTCAGTACGGCAGTGCCCTCGCCTGCGGCTTGTGTTATTTGGGTTTGGTGGGTCACAAGTCTCAAGGGTTTATGTCAAGGTACGATACTAATTTAATCATTGAAATATCGATTTTGATGATAGATTTCAACAAAAATATATTTGCAATTTTTTTCAACATTTAGCCTCTTCTTTATGGAAGACATACCTTATCACCATACTACTGCTTTTGTATAATCCAGTTAATGCTTGATGTCTGTGCCCATAGTGTTTTATGGGTTAAAATTCACTTACAGAATGTAAAACTCTTTAGTTTTACGTAAATTTATGACCATTAGATGAGTAAAATAAATGATTGAGATTGACTCATCGTTTTTTTTTCTAGTAGATATCTTCACATCTCCTACTTTTAATCTCAGTCATCTATTTTCACCATCCAACGATCTTAAATCTGTGTAAAATTTAAAAAGTTTTACATTGTGTAACATATCCTCTCTCTCTATATGCATGTATGTCAAGACACTAGATTATCTTTACACATTGCTCCTGTTTTTCACATTTGTTGATGGAGCGATGCTGTTTTATGTATTTAAAAAATAAAAATTATACTTTATCAGCTAATTATTCTTGAGCATTGATTTATTATTTTATAAAAAATAAAAATTATACTTTATCAGCTAATTATTCTTGAGCATTGATTGGGTGTGTAACGTAAGATAAAAACGTGGTTGATAGAGTGTTTCTTTATCTTACGTGACATGTTCAATTAACGAAAGGATGACAATTTAATAAGTAATTCATTAATTAAAAGGTTTACACCCTTTTTAGAATCGTTGGATGAGAAGAAATCAAAGGTTGAGATTAATTTATATTTTTTTTTCAGTTAATATATTATCATTTTTTATTGTTAATCTCAGTTTTTGATTTCTCATTATTCAACAATCTTAAAAAGTGAAAAACTTTTTAATTTTGCACGATATAATTAGATCCTAGTTCGCTAGCTCTCTCTATGTTACATATATATTGGTAAAACAAGCATTCATGTAGCGCTTCTTTCGTCCCCAATTCTAGTTAAAAAGGCCCTTAACATATGATATTATAGACAAAGTGCATTATCAAATCAAAAGTTAATTGTTGTCAAAATGAAAGTCTTTCTCATGTCAAATCATGGGTTGACCACTTCTTCCAAAATCAAGGACTCAGTGGGATTGTAGTGAATTCAACGAATATGCCTAAATTCCTACAAGGAAAATTATATAAAAACATGGAATTCCAGTTTGACTGTTCTTCTTCTTCAATAAAACCATTTAGTAATGAGGTAGTGAGGTCTGATGTAGATGATAAAGCACCTTATGTGACATTTAGACGATAAGGAGCAGACATCCACTTCGGTCCGGTTTTCCTATGAATTTTAAGAAGCACTAACTCCAAGTGCACAAAGACAAATTGACGGCAACTTAATATCTCTTCACTTTCCAGGACACAATCTCAATATTGGGGGGAAAAAAAGGTATTTTGTCCCCTTCTCCACCCAACCTCCTCTTATTTGCTATTTCCATCATGATTTTAATTTGAAATTATAATTTGAGCAGCTTAAATTGAATCCGATTTAATTTGCAAATTTTGATAATTTTTTTGGTTTCCCTTTAGTTTGTTTCGTCTTGATTAATCTGGATCGATTTGGGTCTCATACCTGGTTTTAATGGATGAGTCTCTCGGCAGGGTTTTTCTGCATACACAATGACTCGAACCTAAGACCTTGCGTAAACGATATCAAGCTACTTACCACTTGAACCAACCTGTTGGTAAAATTTTGACAAATTTTGATCGACAGATTCCATAATTATTTTTTATTAAGGTAATTATAAAGTAGTATCTATTCTAAATATTTTCAACCATTTGATAGTGAACGTTCAATTACCCTTGTTGTAGTTGTTGGTGCTTGAACCCGAGACTTCTAAAAATAACAATCATTCTTTTAATCATTGAGTTAGTTTCATTCATGTTCAATAATTAGTTTAAATATGATTTAAATATAGTTTAGTAATTTGAATGATCGTTTTAAGACAATAGAATAAATTTTAATGATATTTCGTAATAATTTTATAAACTTTTATGATTATTTTAGGCTTAATATAAAAATAAGTGCATAAACTATACTCAAAATTAATTGTCGCTAAAAATAGGTTCTTAAAGTTT